GTCATATAACATATTATCATATACATTGTCATTGTTAGCTACTCCTGCTATTGTTATATAACATATTATCATATACCCTGTCATTGTTAGCTATCCCTGCTATTGTTATATAACATAGTATGATTAACTCTGTCATTGTTAGCTACCCCTGCTATTGTTATATAACACATTATCTATACATTGTCATTGTTAGCTACCCCTGCTATTGTTATATAACATATTATCATATACCCTGTCATTGTTAGCTACCCCTGCTATTGTTATATAACATATTATGATATGCATTGTCATTGTTAGCTACCCCTGCTATTGTTATATAACATATTATCATATACCCTGTCATTGTTAGCTACCCCTGCTATTGTTATATAACATATTATCATATACCCTGTCATTGTAAGCTACCCCTGCTATTGTTATATAACATATTATGATACACATTGTTATTGTTAGCTACCCCTGCTATTGTTATATAACATATTATGATATACCCCTGTTATTTAGATTAAAGATAATCATTTTAATAACACGTGCATGATAAATTGATAAAGAAATGGATAATAACTGTGCTATTACTTTTGTAACAAATCTAAAACATGTCACACAATCCATACTAGTAGTATTATTTCAATGCCATCGGTATAACAAACTGCTGCCAATCGCACGCCCTGTGCATCACCATTGTGTATTTAACAATTTTGTGATCAATCAATGCCACCGTATCATCTGTAGTTTACGTCATCAGATGTCTAACTCTATACAAATAGTGCAAGCAATTGGTTGTCACTGATAAAAAAAAATAGACTAGCTCTAGGAAACGGTCTTTATTTGTTATTTGCTAATTAGTATGCATATTTTCTTTCCAAACATAGGGCTACCCAGGGTTATCAAGAGTTCTCTCGATATGGTGCCAGTCAAGTACCACGTCTACGAAGGTTTTAAAGAATAAGATCGTCATCGTCATGTGTGATATATTTCAAACACATACATTCTGTTTTGTATTTATATATATTCAATTGAAATCTGTCGTGGATGCTTATCCACTTGTGTTTTTCCTCATTGATTCATATTTGTTCTTGTTTATTCAGTTTATTCTTTCGTATTCGTAA